GTCAGCCTGAACAGCTACCGTCACCCAGACCGGGGCAAGCCCCTAGATCTGGACCGGCTTCTTGCACAGTGCAGGGACTTAGGTTCTGATTAAAATCCGGGCTCTCGCCCAATTCCTGGGCCGCCTTTTTCCTCTTCCCCGTCTCCTCCATGGGAACTCTGAGCATTTGCTTGAAGGGCTGCCCCCGCTCTCTCTAGCTCCATCTTTAGGCTCGGTTGCCCTCCGTTCCCCTCTTACCCTTGCAGTAAGCCGTCCTCCATCTGATCTCTCTCCCTCCCACCAATCCCCAGCCTCCAGAGACCTGTCAGTGGTGAGGACACGTGGGGACATTCACCGGTGAACCCAGGCATCCTAGTCCTGAGGAAGTAGCCTTCCCTGGAGACCACGTTGAAGTGCCCGTTCTCTTGGGAAACTAAACTGCCACTTTTCCTCTAGCTCTCCTCTGCTCCCCACTTGTGTCTAGGTGTGTGAGACCTCCCTTCCATTCAGGTCCACATTCTTCCCACTTAAAGGTATAAGAAACTTCCATTTATTGGGGCCTTATGTGTGTTGCCTACCCTAGATGCTTTCCTACCTCCTTCTATCCCCATAACATTGAAGGTTGTGCTTCAGATTTATTTTTCACTGAATAGAGCTGCTTTCCCTTGCCTCTGCTCCCTCCTCCCTTCTGAGCAGCCAGTGGTACCTCCTCCCACCAGAGACCCTCCTCCTTCTCCCTGTTGTGCAGGCTCTGCTGTGGGGGTGACTAATTATAGCTGAGCGTTGCTACTCATTCCCCATCTATCCTGGCACAGCCTGTACTCCAGTCTCACCAATACAGCCTCCATGTAGGAATCATACTGCCTAGAATCTGCCCCCTTTCTCACCCCAGGGACACTGCTGGGGGATTGGGGTGGGCAGGAACAAAAGAACAGTCCACTCTGCTGTGGCAGCCCAAGATTAATGATGGAAAATGGGACTCAAAATGCCTTCAGGGAGCCTAGTTCTGCCAGAGAACGGGCTTTTGTGACAGATCTTGGATTGCAGAGCTGGGGGTGGTGTATAGGGAAATGAAGATGAAATAGGGTTTCTGAAAGAGAGGAGAGGGGGACTAAAGGTAGGGATAAGTATGAAGGGGTGTATGACTGAGCTTACCCTAGAGGCCTGGCAGTGATAAGAATAAGGTGGAAGGAGCCTAAGATTTGGAGCCAACAGTTGGGTTTGCTGAGAAGTCTGTGAGTTGCAGAAGAGTTCTTGTTTTACTTGAGGTTTATAGCAACAACTGTAATTTTCCCCATAAATCATAGTGCTTTTTCTGGTTTGGATGATACCTCCTAGGGAGGTAGGAGAAGACAGCCTCCTTCTCACTAGCCAAAATAAATCCTCAGAAAGGGGGGGAAAGATAGGCAGAATGTTCAAGAACACCTTCCTCCAACTTCATTGCCAGGAGTCTTTTTCCCTTTTATTCAACTCATATTTATGTAGAGCTCTCTATATGTCAGGCACTGTTCTAACTTCTAAAGGATGCAGCTTCCATAGGGCACTGTCTTGGCATAGAGTCTCACACAGGCTAACATGGAGATCTCCTCCACCATCACAATCCTGTGTTCACTCATAGTCTGAGGAGAGCCAAAAAAGTTTTAGGGGACAAAGGTAGGAGTGTCAATAGTGCTGAAAACCCTTTTCTTACTCCCTCCTAGAAAAGAACTGAGAACTGTTATTATGTTTTCCTAGTCATATTTAATTAACATTTGTTAAACTATGTATAGTCTGACATCATGCTAGGCACATTTGCACACTTTATTATTTATTTTATTTGTGTTGAAGTCTTACTTTGTTGCCCAGGCTGGAGTGCAGTGGCACACTCACGGCCACTGCAGCCTCGACTGCTGGGCTCAGGTGATCCTTCTGCCTCAGCCTTCCAAGTAGCTGGAACTACAGGCATGTGCCACTGACCCAGCTAATTTTTTGGTTTCTTGTAGAGATGAGGCCTCACCAAGTTACCCAGGCCGGTCTCAAACCCCTGGGCTCAGGCAATCCTTTTGCCTCTGCCTCCCAATGTGCTGGGCTTACAGGCATGAGCCACCACGCCCAGCCTTGCACACTTTATATCATTTTATTCTCATCCTTTATGATGAATGTTTCCCCCATATTACAGAAGGAGGAAACTGAAGTTCAGATAAGTTAAATAATTTTCCTGAGATCACACAAAAAGTACTAAAAGACCTGGAGATCTTCTGACTGCCAAATCCAAAGCTTTTTAAACTACTGAGTGCTGAGTGAGCCCATATCATGAAAAAGCACATTGGGCTAGGAGGCCTATAATGCTTAGCAGGCATAATGTACATTCTGGTCTAGTTAGGGAGTCAGGACATAATAGGTAACATTTATCGAGTGCTTACTATAAACCAGTATGCCAAGACTTTTAAGTAGATTGTCTTTTTTCATCCTCACAACAATCTTAGGAGATAATTATTGTTTCTACTCCCATTTTGCTGATGAGAAAGCTGAGGGTCAGAGAATTTCTGCCCCAAGGTCATAGAACTGGTAAGTGGAGGACCTAGGCTTTGAATCCAAGCAGTCTGACTCCAGAGGCCCTGATTTTTACAGCTATATTATGTATAAAAAGATACTGTGTAGCATTTGCTGAGGTTCAAATAATGGCCATGGGTAAGGGAAGTCAGAAAAGGGTGAGAGCTCCTGAGTATGAGAGTGCAGAAGAGGGGGCATTTCTAGAAGGGAAAAAAGCAAGCAAAGGCCTCTATTACCATGATGTGACAGGAACACCAAGAAACAGATAACTTTGGCTACAGGGGAGGGTTTGTAGCCCTGGAGGTTGGCGCTTCTAGAAATTCTGCATTTTTCTCCTCCCTCGGTTTCAGGGTCAGTGTTCTTCACCTTGGGTAACCTAAGACTGGAAGGTTTATAGGCCAGTGTGTAGGAAGGTGTCCCATAAGCTAATACCTCCTGCCCTCTTTTTGCATTGTAGTGTTTCACCTGTCTCGGAAAGTAACGTCACTGGTCCCTGAGAGCTGCCTGCTGATTTTGCTGGGCCTGGTGCTAGGGGGCATTGTTTTGGCTGTGGCCAAGAAAGCTGAATACCAGCTGGAGCCGGGCACCTTCTTCCTGTTCCTGCTGCCTCCTATTGTGCTGGACTCAGGCTATTTCATGCCTAGCCGACTGTTCTTCGACAACTTGGGTGCCATCCTCACCTATGCTGTGGTGGGCACACTCTGGAATGCCTTCACAACAGGCACTGCCCTCTGGGGCTTGCAGCAGGCTGGATTTGTGGGTGAGTGACCCTAAGAACTGGGCTGGCAGAGGAAGGTATGCCAGACTTGTCACCCAACTTCCCTTTCCTCTAGCTCTGGAGGTCCCTTGCTTGTGAGAGCCATGCCATGGAAGCTCTGTCTTAGGTCCTTCTCACTTGGAGTGCACGGCAATGTTCCTAACAGGCTTCTGCCTTCATTGAGGTCTCTGCCAGCTGAGTCTGGGCTTCTGCAGCATAATAGCTGAGCAGTAGCCTGGCTCCCAGCTGTGTGTGGGCTGCCAAGGCTGGGGAGCCTGCAATACCACTCTGTTGCCTCCTGCCCTCTGTTATCACACTGCCACTTGCAAGGACCTCCTGTCTTAGCTATGCCCAGACCATGTCAGAGTGTTTTCTTGTTGTTATTATTTTTCCTAACTATATGTTGTCTATAAGAAATTTGTTATTTAAAAAGTAAATGTACATATATTATACATCCACAAAATTCCAGCACTACACTGAGTGTTTTCTCCTTACTTACCCCACTGACTCTTCATAGCAACCTTGTTGGGGTATAATTGTCCCATTTTTGAAAGCCAGTCAAATTTAGCAGTGGGTAATTTGTCCCATTTAATGGATGATGACATAAAGCCCCTTACATTGGTTTTCTATCAGGTCCAAGGTTAGCAGGAGAAGTCCATTTTAGTGAGGCTTTTTGTTTTTAGACTGCCTTCTCTTGCTACCTTCTTTATTTGCTGACCCAAAAAAATCCATTCAACCCAATGTTGAAAACTCAAACTTCTTCCAAGGTACAAGGTGAGGTTTGCAATTCCCACCTGGGGACTCTAACCTGGTTTCCCTAATGAAATGGTGAGCTATTTGGGGCAGAAGGGGAAGGGAGGACATCACATCAGATCATAATAATAGTAATTCTAATAATAGGTAATATCTTTTGGGTACTTACTATGTATTAGACTGGCTAAATAAGGAACTTTTTGAGGTAGTTATTATTCTCAGTTTATACATGGAGAAGCTGGGGCTCGCAGAGATTTTATGGTATATTCAAGTCCCACCTGTGGTGCTTTTCTCACTACTGTATATTCAGTGCCCCCGCCTGCACCCCCATCCCCTAGGAATTGTGAGTGTCTGGAAACCACAGGTATGGGAGAAAGCTCTCTCTTTTGTTATTCTCCTTAATGAAAGCCAGTCAGCAACCAATTTCCACCTGCTGATATTATTACTGTTGCAGTTTTTATTACCAGTGCCACCTTAGCTTTTGGTTACATAGAACTTTCTTAACCATCTCCTACATTGATTTTTTTTCTTTTCTAAATGGCTGTGTTGGTTTTTTAAGTCCTCTTGTGAGGTAGGTAGATGAGGAGGCATGGCTAAGAGAAGTCATGTGACAATGACAGAGCCAACATCACACACAGTTGGTAAGTAGTGAAGCCAGGCCTTAGCATAAGCAGCCTGGCTGAAGTCTCCTGATCTGCAGGCCAATGCTCTCTTTACCATCCCAAGGCCTCTTTGGACTTCCTTGTTTTGTCAGTGGGTTTGGAGTCTGGGCTTGTCCCTGGGAATGCTGCAGGAGACTGGACCATCTTTACCAATTACTGGCCTGTCTTTCATCTCTCCCTTGATAGCCCCTAGGGTGCAGGCTGGCTTACTGGACTTCCTGTTGTTTGGGAGCCTCATCTCAGCGGTGGACCCTGTGGCTGTGCTAGCTGTCTTTGAGGAGGTGCACGTCAATGAAACTCTCTTTATCATTGTCTTCGGCGAGTCTCTGCTCAACGATGCAGTCACTGTGGTGAGAGTGGTCAGCTGGCTGCCATTTGTAACCCCATGGACTTGCATGCTCTGACCAGTGGGGTGTCCAGGAAGACTCAGACCCTTTTAATGGGTCCCCTGGGGAAGAAATATGGTCTCAGCTTTCATCATCTCCCAGTAGTCCTAGTTACTGCCTTCTACTCTTGTTCCTGACTCTCCTTTTCTCATTCAGGTGCTGTACAAGGTCTGCAACTCCTTTGTGGAGATGGGCTCTGCCAATGTGCAGGCTACTGACTACCTGAAGGGAGTCGGTCAGTATTTCCCCCTCAGCTGGCATTGGAGGTCTGCCTCCCCTGAGTTGCTAAGTCCCTCCCACCCCACATCAGAACAGAGGAGGCTGTTCGGGTTGCCTCATTTCCTTTCCTCCTCTATGGAGAAATGGGGTCTGGGAGGGGCTTGCCAGGGATCCTGGCTCTGGAGTCCTGAACCCCCAGGAGTACAGTGGGCATCATTTTCCACTCCCTTCCAGGAGCAGTCTTGTCAGCTCTGGTAGGGTCTGAGCCAGGGGTCATGCTGACAACCCACTCCTCCCCCAGCCTCCTTGTTTGTGGTCAGTCTGGGCGGGGCAGCTGTGGGCTTAGTCTTTGCCTTCCTCCTGGCCCTGACCACACGCTTCACCAAGCGGGTCCGCATCATCGAGCCACTGCTGGTCTTCCTCATCGCCTATGCAGCCTACCTCACTGCTGAAATGGCCTCGCTCTCCGCCATTCTTGCGTGAGTCCTGGGGTCTTGTAGGCAGGCAGCTGGGAGGGTGCACTGGAGATGGTTGCCTCTTATATGAACAGAAGCAGGACCCTAAAGAGTCCATAGGTTTCCCTGAGTCCTTGTGGTAGTGGGAGCCTCAAACTCCCATGGGGAGATAGTAAACCTCAAGTAATATTCCAGGAGCTACCTCCAGAACTGTGCTGGTCACCCTAGAACTCAATTTTCCTCTGCCTGAAGTGCTCTCTAGGATGTAGGCTGGGCTAAAAGTAGACATCAAGGTCTGGGGTCACCAGCTCTAGTGACCACAGTGCTCCAAAAGGTACTTCAGAGAGTCAACTAGTCAGAGTACCTTTTTTTCTACCTTCTCTTCCAGGAGTCACTGAGTGGGAAGTCTGGATTTGGACTCTTAACCCAGCACCACCACTAACTAGCAACCTTCATGTCTCCCTGGGCTTCAGCTCTGAGAGTTTGACATCCTGTGATGGGCAATGCCCCCTCCTGCAGTATGCTCAAACCCCAGAGGCTGAGCCTCCTGTGGCCCTTCTCACCTTCCCTGTTTCTCCATTATTCTCCCAGGGTGACCATGTGTGGCCTGGGCTGTAAGAAGTATGTGGAGGCCAACATCTCCCATAAGTCACGCACAGCTGTCAAATACACAATGAAGACTCTAGCCAGCTGCGCTGAGACTGTCATCTTCATGCTGCTTGGCATCTCAGCTGTGGACTCTTCTAAGTGGGCCTGGGACTCTGGGCTGGTGCTGGGCACCCTCTTCTTCATCCTGTTCTTCCGAGCCATCGGTATTGCTGGCACCCTCTGCTTTCTCATGTCCTTCCTGTTTTCCCACCCCCCGGCAGCTCATCCCCCAATTTGAGTCCACATCCTAGTCAATTCCTAAGCCTCCCCTTGTTGCTCACCTCACCCAGCCTGTTAGACCTCAGCCCAGATACTTGGTGTCATCCACCCCCGTGTCCTCCATTCCTAACACCTTGCTCCCACTGGCCTCCCTCCTGCTGTAGGCGTAGTCCTGCAGACCTGGATGCTGAATCAGTTCCGGCTGGTCCCTCTGGACAAGATTGACCAAGTGGTGATGTCCTATGGGGGCCTCCGGGGGGCTGTGGCCTTTGCTCTCGTCATCCTGCTGGACAGGACCAAGGTTCCTGCCAAGGACTACTTTGTGGCCACCACTATTGTGGTGGTCTTCTTCACAGTCATCGTGCAGGTGGGAGTGCCCACATGGTTGGGTGGGGAGAGGGTCTGGCAAGCCCTGGGGAAGTCTTGGAGCCTGTGGGACAGGGGCTCCTTTTCCCATTGGAGAATGCAAGGACCTGACTTCCCAAAACCTTGAGTGTAGTAGGGTGGGAGTACAGAAGCTGAAGGCTAATTATGGGGAGAGAAAGGCAGCAGGGAAGTGAATAGGGCAGGGCTTACCTCCTACCTATCCATAGGGCTTGACCATCAAGCCACTGGTCAAGTGGCTGAAGGTGAAGAGGAGTGAGCATCATAAACCCACCCTGAACCAGGAGCTGCATGAGCACGTGGGTACCAGAATCCCATCCCTCTACTGATCCCTCTCACCCTTCTCCTGTTTTGGGCAGAATCCTGATCCAGTCCCCCTACCCACCCCCTTCTAGACTTTTGACCACATTCTGGCTGCAGTGGAGGACGTTGTGGGGCACCATGGCTACCACTACTGGAGGGACAGGTGAGGGAGCTGCCCTGAGGCTCCTTCAGCAGCAGCAGCCCCATTAGCCAGGGCAGCATGGGGGATGTGCCACACTTCTGAGAAGGGATAGAGTCAGGTTCAGGCTGGGTGACCTCTGCCTGTAGCCCTTCTGTGGCATCTCAGTGCTCTCAGGATAAGACAAGGTTCCCCAGTGTGGCCTGCTCGGCCCTGCATGGTCTAGCACCTGCCAGATTTCAGCCTTATTGTGCTCTGCTCTGTCTTTGACTGTCTGCCTGCTAATTCCATAGACCCTGTTTTAGAGCCTCAGAACCCACCATGCTTCCCCAGCCTGGCCACTGGGACCTTTGCACATGTTCTGTTAGAGCGCTCCCTACTTCCCTTTCACTTACTCAACTTCTGTTCATTCTTTAGAGCTCACCATAGGCTTCAATCCTTTGGGAGGCCTTCTCTGACTGACTAGGACAAATGCCCCTCATGCTCTATAATTATCCTTTGTAGTTCTTGTCATGGTTTCAATTTTACAGTTATTTGTAATAATTTCAATTAATGTCAGGATTTCCCATAATACTAAATTCCATAAGGGCAGGGACTACCCTTGAAATTCTCCCTGGCTGAGGTCCATACTAAGAAAGCCAGGCTAGTGCTGGTGGTGTCCTTGTCCTGTCTGAGGGAGGGCCAGCCAGCTGAGCCTTGGGGATGGTACTCAGGCCTGGGCTTGGCATCCTCTGTAGGTGGGAGCAGTTTGATAAGAAGTACCTGAGTCAGCTGCTGATGCGGCGGTCAGCTTACCGCATCCGGGATCAGATCTGGGACGTGTACTACAGACTCAACATTCGGGATGCCATCAGCTTTGTGGACCAGGTGGGTCAGCAGCTACTAGATGGGTCAGTGGTGGGTGGGCAGTGGTGGGTGGGCAGATGGTCAGCAGAGGACAGAAAGAGGCAATAAACAGGTAGGCCCTGAGCAGGGAGCAGGGATTTGGGAATTCTCAGCCGACTCCATAGTCTTGGGAAGTTGCAGCTGCAGGAACCAGCTGGGCCTGGTGCTGACATTTAGAGCCTGGTGGGCAGTATAGAAAGGTGGGAAACAGCTGGACTCTGGAGTCAGCAAATATGGTTCAATTGTCACTTCTAGGCTTGTGACCTTGAGTAAGTCACTTGCACTCTCTGAGCCTCAGTTTCCTCAGCCATAAGAAGATGAGAATAAGAGTACCTCCATCATAGATTTTGTGGATTCAATATGCAAAGTGCCTAGCATAGTACCTGGCATATCAAAAGAGCAAAATAAGTGTTCATTATTGTTATTCTCTTTATTACCCTCTGACCCCTGGGCTACCCTCTGATTGCCTTCTAACTTTGGTCTTGATCCCCACAGGGAGGCCACATCTTGTCTTCTGCAGGTCTCACTCTGCCTTCTATGCCCAGCCGCAATTCTGCGGCAGAGACCTCTGTCACCAACTTGCTGTGAGTCCTTAAGCCCCTTTCCCTTCCTCAAGCTCCTCTCTGTTGGGGCTTGTCTCCAAATCTCTTCTGGGGAAGATTTGTCAGCACCTTTGCTTCTGCCCTTCCTCTGGCCGGTGTCTTCTCCCCAGTTTGTGTGTCTCCTGCCTCTTGCAGGAGGGAGAGTGGCAGTGGAGCGTGTCTGGATCTGCAGGTGATTGACACAGTACGCAGCGGCAGGGACCGTGAAGATGCTGTGATGCATCATCTACTCTGTGGAGGCCTTTACAAGCCACGCCGCAGGGTGAGAGCAGGCAGGCATAAGAGTTCTGAGGGGGTGGAGGTGGTCTGGGGAGGCCATGGTTAGAGACTCAAGAGGCTGTTGGCAGCAGCTTGCGGAGAGCTGTAGGTGCCTTGCTGATAAGTATGGGTTTCATCTTGTCAGTAACAAGAAACCTTTGTTTTTTGCTTTTTGTTTTGGAGAAAGGGTTGGCCTAATATAAGCATTGTTTAAGGATGCCTTCTCTGGTAGCAGAGTGCAGATCAAATTGGAGGGGGTGAGTTGAGAGGCTGGGAGAGCCAGTTGGGAAGCTGGAATGAAATGTCATGGATTAGAGCTTGGTGGTGGGAAGGAAGAGGAGCACGTAGACCTAGGTAATTGGCCCTAAAGGGAAGAGGAAATGGAGTACAGGGGCCTTGAGGGTCACTGTAGAACGATGGAGTCACAGAGAGGAAGCAGGAATGCCAAGGAAGCCTGCGGAACCAGTTTAGCATGGGGAAGACAGGCATCTGGTTTAAATAACGGGAGTTAGTCCAGTGCATACCATGAAACTTTGTGGCTGGAAAGGCCCGCCTGTCCACAGGAGAATGTTGCAGCCCCACAAGAGGGCAGCAAGCCATTACCTTGCACCTTTCTACAATGGGAAGCCAGTCATTAACATTTCTGGCAGTTTTAACAGTCTAGGTTCTTTTCACCTTTGAAACAGAATTGGCCTTCTTTAACTTGCACCCACTGGTCCTGATTTGACTCTTTGCAGCTCTGTAGAATAAGTCTTCCAAGGTTTCAAGACAGTTTCCTTCCAACATAGGCCTCCTTGTCCTTATGCTGGCATCACCTGCCCCTCGTGTATCTTCTCTGGCCATATGAAACAAGGTCCAGAACGGAAGGTGCTACTCTGGTTGTGCTGAGAGATTCTGTCATCTCTCTAGTCATAGAACTTACCGTTCTCTTCCAGCTGCCTAGAATCCCTCTAGCTTTGGCTCACCACCCAGGGGCCCCAGATTACCCTTACAATCTGCCAAACTCCCATGTCTTCCTCCATTAATGGCTTTCAGGCATCGTCTCATCTCAACATATGGGGTTTTTAAAAAACCTTTTTTGGGCCGGACATGGTGGCTCATGCCTGTAATCCCAGCACTTTGAGAGGTGGAGGCAAGAGGATTGCCTGAGCCCAGGGGTTTGAGACCAGCCTGAGCACCTTGGTGAGACCTCGTCTCTACAATAAATCAAAAAATTAGCTGGCGTGGTGGTGTGTGCCTGTTGTTCCAACTAGTTGAAAGGCTAGGGTGGAAGGATTGCCTGAACCCAGCAGATGGAGGCTGCGGTGGCAGGGAGTGTGCCTAGGCAATAAGAGTGAGACTCCAACTAAAAAAAAAAAAAAAGTTTTTCATATGTAAAATTCCAGTAGAGAGAATACAATAACTCTCATTTATGTATCACTCAGCTCTGATAATTACCAGTGCATAATTATTTATGTTATATTCTGTAGCCCCACACTTTTCTTTTTTTGGAGTTGGAATCTCACTCTGTCACCCAGGCTGGAGTGCAGTGGCATGCTCAGGGCCACTGCAGCCTCAACCTACTAGGCTCAGATGATCCTTCTGCCTCAGCCTTCCAAGTAGCTTGAACTACAGATGTGCACCACCATGCTTGGCTAATTTTTGGAGGTCTTTCCATGTTGTTCATGCTGGTCTCAAACCCTTGGACTCAGGCAATCCTCTCACCTCTGCCTCCCAAAGTGCTGGATGGCAGGTATGAGCCCCGGTGCCCGGTCCCACACTTCATCTAAAAACAAACTCCAGACATCATATCATATCTCTAAATATTTCAGTATGTATCTCGAGTTGTTAAGAACTCTTATATCCAGCTGGCTGTTCAAATCAGGATCTAAATAAAGTCCACATTTTACATCTAGGAAATATATCTCTTCATTTAAAAAATCTATAGGCCAGGCATGGTTGCTCATGGCTATAATCCCAGTACTTTGGTAGACCGAGGCCAGAGAATTGCTTAAGGCCAGAGTTCAAGACCAGCATGGGCAACATAGTGAGACTCCATCTCTACAAAAACATAAATAAATAAAAAGAAACATATTTTTTCTCTACTCTGCCCCCCCTTGTTTATTCATTGAAAAAACTAGATATTTTGTTTTAGAGAATTTCCCATTTTCTAGATTTTACTGATTCTATTCCAGTGGTGTTGTTTAACACAGTTTTCCATTCCCTATATTTCCTGGTCATTAAATCTAGAGATCAGATCAGATTCAGGGACATTCAATAGGTATGCTATATATTTCTTACTATGTCACATCAGGAAGTACATGATGATTGGGTTTGTATATGTATGTGTGTGTGTGTGTAAGACTGGTCAGTGAGTTCAGTCCAATCAGTGCATATGTAGTCAGTTTTATAAATATCTGGAATGTTTGTACTTATTCTGTTAAATTTCATCTTATTTGATTTAGCCCATCATTCCATTGTTTGGATTCCATATCTGCCACCAAATGTCTCCTTCTCAGATTCATATCATCTGAAAATTTGTTAAGCCTGTTAACTTTGTAATCATCCAAATCAACATAAAAATGTTGAACAGGATAGAGCTGAGGACAGAGCCCTGTGGCATGCTACTAAAGACTTTCCTCCAGACTGACATGGATCAAGCATTTTTGGGGTATGATTACTCAACCAGTTCTGAATCCACTTAGTACCATAACACAATATAATTTATCTTGTTCTTCACAGAAATATCATTGATGAGAGCAGAAATGCCTAGTATGCAGTTAGAAAGATAGGATTATAGCTTAATAGAGAGATAAGAGCTGGAGAGAAAGATTTGGAAGCAGTCTATATGAGAGGTTTCCTCACCCAGCTACTGCAGAATCTCCTGAGGAGCTTGCTAGAATATATATTCCTGGCTTCACCTCTTGGAGATTCTGATTCTATAGTTTGGAGTGGGACTAAGAACCTGTGTTCTTACTAAGTTCCCCAGGTGATTCAGATGCAGTTTGTCTGCTGGATGGTGTTTGGGAACCACAGGTTATATCATCAGGATAGCTGAAGCTGAAAGAATAGATATGTTCTCTGGGTAGAGTGTTTAGAGGGGAGAGAGGAGGGCCAAGGATAACACTGAGGAATGCACATGGGAAAAAAGGGAGGGGAGCCAGCAAAGAAGAAGAGAGAAGGAATCCTTGGAGAAGCAGACTGTGTCTCAGGCCTGGGGCAGAAGGAGGACAGACTGTTGCACAGGGGCCAGGCCAGCACCTAGGCAGACGCCACAGCATTGGTGACCAGGGAGGTCATCGCTGTGCAGTTGTGGACCCTGGAGTTGCATTTCTGGTATATAAGGAAGTACTGAAGATGAAAGAAAATGTCAGAATTGAATGATAAAAGTTTGGCAGCAATAGGGAGGAAGCGGTATTAATAGAAAAGGCTTCAGGGAGGCAGGAGCAAGAGCTTGTTTGACAGCAGAGGAGAGGGGGCAGTGGTGAGGGAAGGAGTGAAGGTACAGTGGGGCAGAGAAACAGAAGGAGGCAGGAACTGATGGAGGCCGGGAGAGCAAGCTGAGACATTCACAGACGGGGTAGGGAGTGGTGAACCCTGTCAAGTAGATGAACCCCTTCACTCTAGGAGAGGGCACCTCCTGGTGCAAATGTGGAGGAGGACGGCAGATGCAAGGCTTGAAGGGAGTTCTTAGAACTGATTCAGAAAGCAGAAAATGCGAGGTATTGGGAGCAGACTTGGGGTGTGAGGCAAAACAAGATGATCTGGAACCCGCTGGGCAGTACTTAGTAGATCACTGCTAGCTGATAGAAAGGTTGCTGAGCAGCCAAGGGCAAAGACATAGGCAGTCTAGGTGAGTGAGTAGTGGAATTGGTCTTCATGAGAGTTAAAAAGGACAGATGATGGGAATGTTGGGACTGAAGTGTTGGGACTGAGAGGGCCAGGGTGTCAGGGGAGATAGTTGTGGAAGTCCAAAGCACAGCCCAGGATATCATGGTGATCAGTGTAGAAATGACTAGATAGAGAGTCCAGCTGGAGAGAGGATCCTGTATAGCTAGAAGGGGCAGGTGGGCTGTGTTTGGGGGCTAGGCTCAGATAAATGGAGATGCAAAGAAGGAAATGTCATCTTGTCTCATAGTCCAGGGGAACAAGTCAGAGGGTCACCTTCAAATCAGAACTGGAAAAGGGCAGCAAGGGATGGGGAAGTCTAGGTTTGGGGAAATAAGTTTCTGGGATAAAGGGAAGTTTTTCCCAGGGAATTGAGAACAGTCTATGACTGGGTTCTTATTCTTTGTTTTGTTTTTCGATCCATGGCTAGTTCTGGAAAAGCTGGGCTAGCAGGACCTATGGTGAACATGTTGGGGCTATGGCCTGGGTTTCTGTGGGAGGCTAAGGCACCTGGCTTCATAGCAGGGCGGGGCTGTCATTGCCAGTACAAAGCCAGCTGCAGCCGCCACTTCATCTCAGAAGATGCACAGGAGCGGCAGGACAAGGAGGTCTTTCAGCAGAACATGAAGCGGCGGCTAGAGTCCTTTAAGTCTACCAAGCATAACATCTGCTTCACCAAGAGCAAGCCACGACTTCGCAAGACTGGCCGCAAGAAGGTATGTCCTTTCTTTGGGATTCCTCTTTGGGGCTGGAGGCTGATGGCATACAGTTTTGGACCCCCAAGTGTTGGAATCCAGCCTAGGGGGAATGGAATCCACCCTAGGGCGATGACTGCAACAGTTTGGGTTCCCTTTTAGATCTTCCTGGAGCCCAGAGGTAAGTCCTTCAGAGCTTCTTGGTCATAGGGTTGCCTGCTGGGACCCAATAGGACCTCCTACCAGAAAGGAAGCAGGCAGGAGAAAATAAGATTCTCCTGAGGGACAACTCCATGGGCCCCTAAGTCAGCCCAGGCTGATACATCCAGCGCTCTTGCTGGAGCATGGATTACTTGAACTCCACAATTCTTGCCTATCTGGCCAAGGGACAATAAAAACATTGGGATGACAAATGCTTTCTCCTGCTGGGTCCTCCTGTTGACCCCACTAAATGACAGAATTGGGGTGTGGAGCCAGATTCAGAGGCTCAGATTTTCTTTCTTGGTCCACAGAAGGATGGTGTGGCTAATACTGAGGCTACCAATGGGAAACCTCCTCGAGACCTGGGCTTTCAGGACACAGGCAAGCAGAGGGAGCAGCGTGGGATTGAGGATGGGAGGGAGAAGAAAAAGGCAGGGACTCATCAGCCAGAATCCTGGAGGACCTGCCCTGGGGTACATTTAGCACCATGAGCTGGGACTCTTCCCCTCAGGGGCTAGATGAGCACACTTGATTTCAAAATTGGAAATGTTCAAAGCATTATCACACAATGTGTGACGAGAGGCATCTGATTGCTAACTTATAAGCAGGGTTATAAGCCCTGAGGGCTTGGGAAAAGTGTCATGGAGAAGGAGGAGCTTAGTCTGGCCCTTGGAGGATGCTGGACCCTGGGCCAAGTGTCTCGTCTGCAGAATCAGTTTTGTATGAGCCGAGTATTAATGAGCCTTCCAGCTCTCCCAAGTCTCATGGTTTCAGATGACGATGGGATTTGGGGCTGGCAGATGAGGATGGGGGAGCTGGAAAGTGTGACCCTCGTGGCTTCGTCTGAGGACTTAGCTTCCTTTGGTGGCCTTCTCAGGCTCAGCAGTTCCTCTTTAAGGAACTAGCTTTCCTCTTAAGTTCTTAACCCCTAGGCCAGTGCTCAAAACAGCTAGAGGAGAAAGCAGGTTCTTCTGCCAGTGTGGGCTCTCCCTGGGGTCAGGAAGCTGACTTGGGGCTATAGAGTACCAAGAGGTAGCTGCTAGGCCGACTGCCAAACTCTGCTCTTATCTCTGTCCAGCTGCTGTGATATTAACCATGGAGTCTGAGGAGGAGGAGGAAAGTGACAGTTCAGAGACAGAGAAGGAGGATGACGAGGGGATCATCTTTGTGGCTCGGGCCACCAGCGAGGTTCTCCAAGAGGGCAAGGTCTCAGGTAATGGCTTTCTTACCACCTTCCTCTCCCCTGGAGTAAGCAGAGGTCCTTCCTCTTCATTCTTGGCCACCATTGCAGACAACTTTTTTCCTTTTCACTAGTTTATTCATCAAACAGTATTTACTGAGCATCTCCTTTATACTAGACACCCAACATAAGTAATCTGATTCAACCTTCACAACAACCAAGATGGGGAAACTGAGCTCATTGAGCTTAAAGGACTTGTGACTGTCCAGTGTCACACAGCAGAGTCAGAATTTAAGCCTGAATCTTCTGACTCCCAAGCCCATAGGCTTGCACTGCCACACTGCCTTCCTTTACAGCCTGGAGAGGAACAGAGGGTGATAAGAAAACTTAATAGCAGGTCCTGCTGAGACTTATGCTCATAATCTGCACACCTACCCTTAGGTAGAGCCTTGGGTGAACGTGGCAGCCTGATCTGGGGGAGGAACTTGAATTTGTTAACATGGAATTATTATGGGTAAAAAAGTATATCTGTGTTTCATATATGTAGAGAACTAATTCACTCATGATGTTAGATGTCACTGGTGGTTGACTCAAGCACCCTCAAGTGTCTTTTTTAAAGAAAATAAAAAACTTCAAAATAGAACAGTAAAATCAACTCCCATATATCTATTATTCAGCTTCAATAATTACCTACTCATAGCCAATCTTTTTTTTTTTTTTTGAGTTGGAGTCTCACTCTGTTGCCCAGGCTAGAGTGCAATGGCACGCAGGCTCAGGGCCACCCCAGTGTCGACCTTCTAGGCTCAGGCGATCCGTCTGCCTCAGCCTTCCAAATAGCTGGAACTACAGGCGCGTGCTAACATGCCTGGCTAATTTTTCTAAATTTCATTTTATTGTAGAGGCAAGGTCTCACCAAGTTGCCCAGGCTGGTCTTGAACCCTCAGGCTCAGGCAATCCATTCGTCTAAGCCTCCCAAAGTGCTGGGATTATAGACTGAGTCACTGAGCCCAACCCTTATTCTACTGGATTCATTTGAAGAAAATCTCAAAATATTATTATCATTTTATCAATAAATACTTTAGCAGGTATCTCTAAAAGATAAGGACTCTTTAAAAGTATATCTATAAACACAGGGCAGGACACAGTGGCTCACACCTATAATCCTAGGTAAAAGATTTATATGATCTAATCCCAGCACTTTTGGGAGGCTGAGGTGGGAGGATCACTTGAGGCTAGGAGTTCAAGACGAGTCTGGGCAACATAGTGAGACCTTGTTTCCACAAAAAATAAAAAAAATTAGCCAGGCATGGTGATGTGTGCCTATAGTCCCAGCTGCCTGGGAGGCTTAGGCAGAAGGATTGTCTGTGCCCAGGAGATTGAGGTTGCAGTGAGCCACGACCGTGCTTCTGCACTCCAGCCTGGGCAACTGAGATTCTGACTCAAAAAAAAGCACAAGGCTGGCTGTAGTGGTTCACACCTGTAATCTTAATGCTTTGGGAAGCTAAGGTAGAATGATCACTTGAGGGCAGGAAGAGTTCAAGCCCAGCCTGGGTAAATAATAAGACCCTGTCTCTAAAACAAATTAACCTGGTGTGGTGGTATGTACCTGTAGTCTCAACTACTCATGAGGCTAAGGAAGAAGGATTGCTTGAGCCCAGGATTTTGAGGCTGCAGTGAGCTATGATCATGCCACTATACTCCAACCTGGACAACAAAACAAGACCATCTCTTAAAAAAAAAAAAAACACCATCACCATATCTAAAAATCTCTGTCATCAAATATCTAGTCTGTATTCAAATTTCCGTGGTTGTCTTTATATATTTATTTTTTGAGTCAGAGTTCACTCTGTTGCCCAGGCTAGAGTGCAGTGGCACACTCATGACCACGGCAGCCTTGACCTGCTAGGCTTAGGCGATCCTTCCTCCTTAGCCTTGCAAGTAGCTGGAACCACAGGCATACATCACCATGCCTGGCTAATTTTTTTTATTTTTTGTGGAAATAAGGTCTCACTATGTTGCCCACTATGGAGCCATTATGCCCCACTCTGTGTTTACAGATATACTTTTAAAGAGTCCTTATCTTTTAGAGATACCTGCTATGCCTGGCCATGGGGGATAACTTTTTTTTTTTTAGTTGGAGTCTCACTCTGTCGTCCAGAATGGAGTGCAGTGGCATGCTCCTGGCCACCGCAACCTCGACCTGCTGGGCTCCAACGATCCTTCCGCCTCAGCCCTCCAAGTAGCTGTAACTACAGGCATGCGCTACCACACCCGGCTAATTTTTTTTTTTTTTAAGTTGGAGTCTCACTCTGTTGCCCAGACTGGAGTGCAGTGGCCGCTCCCAGCCACCGCAGCCTCTACCTGCCAGGCTCGGCGATCCTTCCACCCCAGCCTTCCAAGTAGCTGGAACTACAGGCGTGCGCTACCACGCCCGGCTAATTTTTCATTTATTGTAGAGATGAGGTCTCGCTGCCCAGGCAGGTCTTGACCCCATGGGTTCAGGCAATCCACTCACCTCAGCCTCCCAAAGCATGGGATTACAGGCTGAGCCACCGAGCCCGGCTCAATGCATTTCTTAATGTATTCAATCAAGAAGTTTGTTAGACTGCTCAGGATTTTATCAATAAGCAGATACATGCTGTGCTTGACTTTGGGGAACTGGAGTGGTGGGTGGGTAGAGGCCTCTCCCATGTTTCCTGTTTCAGAACCTCAGACTTTCTGTAATTCAGCCACCCATAGTTCTGGGATTCTCAGTTCATATCCCCTATTATGCATCATCCTCTATGATGCGTCACCCCCTTTGTGGTACAGCTTTGGCCTGCTGTTAGGTTTGCATGAGCTAACACTCCTGGGCTCTGTCCCACCAAAGGGCTGTGGTGGATGCACATGCAGGATGCCCAGCAGCAAAGCCTTTGGCCTGGTGCCTCTAGGTCTTTCTGTCCCTTGCTGGCTGGCTGAGATAGGGCTTAGCAAGAGATGGTTTCTGAGACTGGTGCTGCAAGTCGGGTAAAGGAGATTGAAGATGTGGCTTCCTTCCTGCCTGTCTCCTGCTTTTATTATTTTCATTCATTCAGTAGGTTTTTGTTTTTTTGGTTTTTTTTTGAGTTGGAGTCTCACTCGGTCACCCAGACTAGAGTGCAGTGGCCGCTTCCG